AATCAGTATGCAGTATAGACTGCACAAACCCCACCAGCATCACCAGGTCTGCTCTCAAAGGAAACAAAAGCCCCTCATTGCAGAGGGAAGGCAGGATGTCCTCGTAAACTCAAATTCTGTATGCCAGGAAGCCTTACTTTTCTCTTGACAAGGAAACTCCCTCCCATCTACAACTCCTTCTCCAACAAATGCAATTAAGTTTGGCTGCTCTGGGGGAAGAGGCAGATAATCTCAGAAAGACCCAGCCCCAAAGCCCAAAGGTGCAGTGTAGGCCTAAAGTCAGAACTTGGAACTGTCATTAGGAGCCAACCCCTTCCCTGCCCCCACCAGGACTACAGGATAGCACAATGTGAGCAGGAACAGGAATACTGACAACAAAGGTAGGGACCCTAATGGTGGCCCAGGTAGCCCCTGCAAGAGCCTGTTGGGAAGAAGTCAGTGGAGAAGTCTCTTCTTACTATTATATTTTTAGAGAAAGGCTTCTAGAGCAAAGATCTTAGACATGCATGAAATCTCCCCTAACAATGCCCCAGAACCATCACCATCATTGTACTTAGCACACTGCATATATTGATTAAGTTAAAAACTATCCCTAAGAGCTGGGTGTGGTGGTACATACAGGTAATCCCAATGACTGTGGTGCCAGAGGCAAAAGGATCACACATTTAATGCCAGCTTCAGCAATTTAGGGAGACTTTGTCTTAAAGTTAAAAAATAAATAAAAATGATTGGATTGATATTGGCCAAATTATGTTGTTATATGTGTGCATGTGCAAATATGTAATGACAAATCCCACCATCATGTACAACTATAAGGCACCAATAAAAAAAATGTGAGGGGGGGGAAAGACTGGGAATGTTTGATTCCCATTTAAAAAAAAAAAAGTCAGTAAGGTATTTTCCTTTGTTAGCTATTCTCTGCACTGTTATTTCAAAGAATGAATCTTGACCTGAAATATAATGTAGTAATTTTTTTCCTAGTTTTTTAAAAAAAAGCTGTATGGAGGGATGACAACTTACACTGTTTGCACAGAACTACAAGCAACTAGGATAGCAAATAAACATTTTACACCTATATATCTCTCATGCAATTAATCAAAATATTTTCTTAAAATTATATTTTATACAACTAAATTAAACAAATGGAATGAAGGGTTAATTAATCAATTTGCTCTAGGATAAACAACATACTGATGATGACACCAGAAACAAACAAAATTGACTTCTTGACCAACAATGGGAGCATTCTCTACCAACATAATTAGGAGGCATTACTGGAATTATCCTCAGAACAGACTTTTAAGGGTCCTCTTAAAAGCCCCTTTTGAATAATCTAGAAGAGGGAGATCAAAAGCACTCCAAACCAAGATACCATCCAATAATCTTTAGGGTTAAAATGCAAATTTAGTTTAAACAACAGATTGTAAACAACGCACAACTCCTGATGTGTGGAGGAAAGTGCAGGAGGAGGTGGAGGTGAAGGTGCCAGGCAATTGCACAGGATTCAGGCGGCAGACCCCTCATGGCCCAGGAATGTGAAAAGGAGCCTGGGGCCATCACACAGAACAGGTCCTGACTCCATGGAGACAGTGGTAGTGGTGCAGTTGTGGGCAGGCTGCTGGACAGAAGAGGCGAAAGGATGAGGGTGAGCTAAAGGAAGGCTTGCCCCCAGTTGGAATTTATTACTTTCTCTCCAGGACAGGGGAGGGGTTGTGTGGCAGGAGCAAGAATCTTCAGTCTTTGGAAAAGAGAGGGAAAAAATAGCTCTTGTGGAAATACTGGACAACTCTAGGCCTAACTTTGCCTCTAATTTGCTCTGTGACCTGCAAAGTTGACTTCATTTTACTGTTTCATTTGTTTGGGGAAGGGATTATAAAGTAAACACCAAGAGCAAACTCAGAAACTGATAAATGTTGAATAAGTGAATATTGTTTTCAGTTTATCGACTACTATCTGCCACAGACTAGGTATTTTATTTTTTTTTAAATATATTTTTTAAGAGAGAATGAGAGAGAGGGAGAGGGAGAGGGAGAGAGAGAGAGAGAGAGAGAGAGAGAGAGAGAGAGAGAGAGAGA